TCTCAGCAGTTCTACAGGGATGATAAAGGTGATTTAAAAAAGAGAAAGAAGTTACATTTGTTACATGCTTTCTGTTTATCAAAGTCCCTTTGCAGATGTCCTTTCCTTTGATGTTTACAACTGTCCTGTCGGGCATCTCCCTTGAAAAGAGGAAGAAGAGGGAGGCTCAGAGGAGCACCAGGCCACTTGGCCAACGCGAACAGCTAGCAAGTTCAGTGCCAGGCTGGCCCCAAATCTTCTGACCTCCTCCTGCCCACTGCTCTCTCCTGCTCTCACGGAAGTGAGAAGAGAAATGTTTGAACTTGCATTCTGCATTTGCTGGGTGAACTCTGATTTCTGTCTATAGAACAGGATCCCTAGCTACCCATACCTAATGGAGTTGTTGGAAGTCTTAACCGAGCCTGTGTTCTAAAGGCCTCATCACAGTGCCTGGCATGGTACACGCTCCTTATGTTAAAGATTAAGAGTCTAAAGCACAGAGAGGTAAAGTGTCTTGCCCGAAGCCACACAGCTGACAAATAAAGGAACCAGGCTTTGGACCTGGGTTTATCTGTCCTCACAACCCGAGCTTCTACCCTAGAAAGCACTCCCTGATGGCAGTGATTAGTATTATATTGTTACTAGCAGTTTATTAAAATAATGAATCTACCTCTTTTCCTACAGAGCCTGGGGGAAGAGGGGAGCATCCCCCCTCTCTTCTAGCTCCCAGTGAGCAACATTCCTGAAGGTGAAGGAGGACCCTGGCAGGCAAGCCCTTGGCCCCAGGGCTGAGGACACTCGGAGAGGCTGGCCATGAACTGTGGGCAGCCAGGTGGAGGGATACCAAGAGGGAAAGCAGGAAAGTCCCTGCAGCTGGTCGAGGCCCTAGAGGATCCGGACCATACTCTTTAACCCCCCAAAGGATGTTCCTAGGATTTTCAAATTTATTCTATGAAAATCAACACAAAGATAAACAGATTCAATCACACTCAGTTGTACATTTAATGAACTGTCATTTTGGGGGAAATGATTGCAAATTACACATAAAAAGAAACAATTCAGAAAAAAAAACAGGGAGGCAATGATTAAATATTTAATATGCAGGCTGCCTTGGAAAAGCTAGATTGTAAGGTCAAGACGCCTGCTGGGGAAAGGACTCGGCCCTTCTAGCATCCTCCATTCGTCCATTCACACAGAAGTCTGCCCTTTGTTGAGCACTTATTATGTGCCAGGGGTGGGGCTGAGAGCTTCCTCTGAGAAACTCAGCCACCCAATGCTAGAGGTGTGATTCCAAGTCCGATTTAAAGCTGCTTCAGCTGAGGCTCAGAGAGTTTAAGCAGCTGGCCCAAGGTGGTACAGTTAGGAAGTGGCCTCCAACGACCCTCTGAGCGCCGACTGTAGAAAGTCCTAGAGACCCAGACATGAACAAAGACAGGGCCCCTGTCCTTGAGAAGCTCACAGTCTAATGAGTCCTAAATTAGTAAAGGTTAGCAGCAAGAAGAGGTCATGACTTCTAGTGACTCCACATTCTTTGTAAGTGAAAGCAACTTTCTCACAGAAGACACCATCATACAAAAAAGATGAAAGGGGAACGGCTTGGGGTGAAAGCTGGAAGGGAATCTCCCCCTCTGGCCCCCAGTCCTTAGGCACCTGGGGATGGGACTGCCGGCCCATCTTGAGATCCACTGAGAGCACCCAAATGTGTCACTTTACAGAGGGGAACATGGCAGCCTAGGACGGGAAGGGAATTGTCGAGATGGCCAGGACTGGAACCTGGGCCCGTGGACTCCTTGTTTGGGGCTGTTTGGTCTGCATTCGGGTCCCCAAGATGCTGGCATGCAGATACTCACTTCCAGTGTCCTTTGTCCAGTGACACAGGCTGCCCAACACTGGCCGTGCTCTGGAGAGTTTGGGGCTTTCGGGCCATTTCATCGATTTTTCCCAATTGTGGGAAAAAATGAAGTCTGTGAGCCCCTGTGGGTAGATGTGAATATTTTTGAAAGAACGTTTTCTACTAGTACCCCAAACATGGGGGGGGGGGGAGTCAAAAGGGCCTCAGTTCGACGCCCAGCTCTCCAGCCATGACTAAGATCTAGTCCGTGGTGTTTTTCAGTTTCCCCATCTGTCAAATGAAGTGGTTAGATTACAATGGATTCTCTACAAGGTTCTTTCCAGGATGGACACATGGGGAATCTGGAACGTTCTGGGCTGGGCCATCTCTGGATTTGGGATGACCTAGACTCCAGTCCCTCAACAGTGGCCCTAACACCTCATTCACTCCCTCCTGAGGAGTGCTGACCCTCGTCCATGCCCCCCTCAACGTTCTCTCCCTTTCCAAGCCTCCCCCTTCCCTCCCCTCTCCTCAATTTCCTGATGAGCCATGACCCAGCGCCTTTCTTGCTTTTCTCAAAGAATAGCAAATGGGATCCTGGAGACCATGTGTCAAGCCTCTGGCTGTAGGGTGGAGACACTGAGGCCAGAGAAGGGAAGGACTATCCCAGGGGTCACCCTGTGAGGGGGAGGCCCGCTTTCTGCCACCAGGATCACCTCCTCCTATCCAGGACTATGCTCTTGGGGTCCTTCTGCCAACAAGTACTTTTTTTCCTATGCACTTAGATTGCATTTCCTGGGGCATCAGAAGTCTTCAAGGAGATTTAAGGAGCTCACCCATGGGCCTTCAGTCTCCCTGCTGGCCTGTGAGGACCTGGAGGTGGGGACTTCCCATTCTGTTCCCTTTCAACCCTTTTGATCACAGCTTAGAGTCTCAGTTTGTTGCTAAGGTGTCTTTAACACCTTTCTAGCCCTTGTTAATCTCCCTTTACAAGAGCTTGGGGCCTTGGACTCAGTACCTTCCTTGTCCGGCAGTATTTTGCTGGAGATTTTTTTTTTTTTTATTGTGGTTAAATATACATTGTTAGAATTTAATAACACTGTTTTATTTTCATTGTATTTATTTTTATGGGACCTTCTATTTATAGTACTGTGATGCTGGTTTTCCATTTATGGGAATGATATAACATTTCTTTGTAAAAACAAGCACATTTAAGTAAAAAAACAAAACAAGAGTTGATTTAAAGAAAGCTATTAAGCAAACAGCCTTATCTGGTGCACAGATTCTCGATGGAAGCAGGAGAATGGCTGAGGTCTGGGAAACTCTGACTTGAGCTGGACCTATCCTCCCAGCTGGGCGGCTGAGTGGTCCAACTGGCCTGTGCTGCCTTCCCCTGCCGGTGCTCCCCTCCCCTCCGCTGGCTTCTGCCAATCCCCCAGACCCTCTGAAACTCCATCCACTGCTTCTACTGTCTCTGGCCTCCACCTCCCAGGCCCCAGTACCCTCACTGGGGCTGAGCCTTTTCCCTCTTTAAATTTATGTGGCGCCTCGTCCAAGGAAGCCCACACAGACAGCCTCTTCCAACAGCATTCCATAAACGCAGAGCCTGTGGGGTTTCTCAGAGTAAAGGGTCAGCCTCCCCCAACCCTGTTTTGGCAGCGGAAGGGGTGAATGTGGAGGCTGAATCCCTTTAGGTTTTTCCTTGTCCCTGTTTTACAGAAATTGCACTATCAGAGATTTTCTTCCCTGGGGTTAAGCACTGCTCAGTTGGGGTACATCTGAAAATTCAGGCAGACCAGGTTTATCTCCCCCCCAGCCACACCTCTCTTCTCGGTCAGCCCTTTCTCAACATACCCCTGAATCGGTTGAAAGGACCAGATACCCTCAAAGTCTTTAGAGGGGTATATCCTTTTCTGGGAATGTGGGCAAGGAAAGGCAGAGATTTCCAGCCCCTGGGGCCTGACATTACCAATCCTTATACCCAAGACTGGAATAGGGTCAAAGCCTATCAGTCACTCACCCTTTAGTGCGAATCAGCTGACCAAGGGGTGCCCTGCTCAGACACTCCACCACGGGAAAGCTTCAGAGGGGGGACTCAAAAGAGAGCCCCCCAGGGAAGAGGGGTGGGCATCCAGAGCCCCACTCATCTGGGGGTAGCCAAGCACTTTCACTTGGGCTGCCCCTTCCATCTACCCGCTGGCCCATTTGGTCTGGGGCAGGAGGGGTAGGGAGCTTCTTCACGGAGAAGGTTCAGAGGTTAAGTGTCTCAGTGAAGTCATGTGTCAGGGGCTGGGGAGGGGAGGTGTGACTGAGGCCGAGGAACAAAGATGAAAAGATAAGTCCTGAGATTGGAGACACAGCGCCGGCCTCCTGCAATCAAGTCATTTGCATCTGGTCTGGGGTCAGCCCCGCCCCCTCAGCACCCCCGCCAGCGGCCTCTGTTATCCGCAGCCAGCCTAAGCAGCCCTTGGCAGGGTGAATCCCTCCGGCTTTCAACAGGTACTCCCGGGGCAGCAGGAAGCCCAGGAGAAGCAGCGAGGTCCAGATGGACAGTCATCCCCTCCAACCCTGCAGTTGGTTATGGGGGGGGGCGCAGCGTGAAAGTTTCCCGGGAATGAATACTCCGGGTCTAGCACGCCACTCTCCCACATCCCCAGCGGATCTCCCGCATTCAGACGAAGCGAGGGCCCGGGAGCAGAGCGGGAAGGCGGGCAGGGGCTGAAGGACGGGAGCAGGGCAGAGGGTGGCCCCGGGGCCCCGAAACAAGGCCCGGAGGCCGCACCGCAGGAGGAGACCGAGGCAGGGAGGAGGCGAGGGGCAGCCCGCCGGAGGAAACGTGCCTTCTCGGCGGCCGCCACTGCAGTGGTGGCGGCGGCAACTGAAGACGGGAGACTGGCGGGGAGGAGGTTTGGGGAGGGGAGGGAGCGCGGGGGAGAGGGAGGGACGGAGCGGTGGCTGGGAGGTGGGGCCGGCGGGCGGGCTGGCGGCTGCAGCTGCCGCCGGCGTCTCGGGGGCTCCAGGCTGCGGGGCGGACGCAGCGCCGAGCGATCCACAGCGGAGCCGCGCGAGGCCGCCAGAGCCCCGGCCCCGAGCCCCGAGCCCCGCGCCCCGCGCCCCGCGCCCCGAGCCAGCGCCGCCGCCGCGTCGCGCCACCCGGTCCCCGGACACGCCGCCGCCGCCACCGCCAGGAAGGCAGCGGGCGCCTAGCAAGTTGCGAGCGCGCCTCTCCGCCTGGGGAAAGTTTCCCCCGCGGGCGTCGGCGGGAGTTGGCGCGGGGTCCGGCTGCTGCTGCTGGAAGGTAGGGGGCTCCGCACCTCCGCGCCCTGCGTGCGCCCCGCTGCTGCACCCCCGGGGACTTGGAGACCCCAGGGGCGCTCCCCCCCGGCGACTGTTGGGCACGGTCGGGGATGGGGATAGAATGGGGGAGGGATCCCAGAACGGTCCCGGGGAAGCCCAGAAACCAAGTTCTACTTAAACTAGCCTGGGGAGGGGGCAGGGGAGATGTGCTTGCCCCATTCCCGCCCCAGATCCCTGCCCCGAATCCGCTGGCTAGAGGCTCCCCCCCCCCACCCCGGGACAGGTGCGGTTCCAGTCGGCGCTGGGCGCCCTGGGTGGGTGATTGGGGGGCATCGAGAGGATGGCAGGGAGTAGCAGGTGTGGTTAACAAGTCTGGGGGCTCAGCGGGGTCTGTGCCCCGAGGGCGGGGGTGCGGGCCACGCCACTCTGTAGGAGGTCAGATAGAGACTAGGGATTAGGATCGAGGATCCCTGCCGGTAGGATTGTTGGGCCCAGCCAGGGTACCTAAGGCGATCCGCCTTTGGGGTCCCAGCAGCGGGGCGGGGCGGGAGGGGCAGGGGCGCCACGCTTTCCTCCCGGGTCCCCCTTATCCCGTACGGGGTGTGCGCGGTTTGGGGAAGCGAAGCGGAGACTCTGTGGGTGCTCAGTGGGGTCCGAGCCTCTCTGGCACGTCCGGATTTACGGGGTATATTTAATAGGAGTCCTCTGGGAGGGTGGCTTTGGCTCGCGTGGGCTCGCGCCAGCTTTGGATCCCCGCTAGATTGAGGTGAGCTGGCTCCCGCCAGGGGGAGCCCTTCCCCGGCCCTTTCACCCACAGGAAGGCGAGTCCTGGTTCCTGCGAGACAAATGCACGGAAACCCAGGACTTAGAACCACAGACCCTCCAACAGGCGCGGGGGCCCGCGCGGGGGAACCGGCCGCCCCCCCGTGCGACGGCGCAGGAGAAGTCCGAGCGTGGAGCTGGGGTGCGCGGTGTGTGGGAAAGCTTGGTAGTCAGGGGGTGGTTTTTCTAGGGGAGCAGGCGAGGTGTATGGTTGATTAAAATACTCACCCCCAGAAAAAGAATAAGAGAAACTTGACACTATCAGCGAACTGGTGTAGAGAAAGGGGATGAGAGGATCAATTTGTTGAGGTTTCTTTGGGGTCTACAGCCCAAACTGCTGAATGCGCCCTTCTTGTAAAAGTTGTACCTTTGTTTCCTGCATGTGGCCAGATGGATGGGCTGGGTGACAGTCTTGTGGGCGCTTCAGATCTGTCCTGGGTGGGCACGAGTAAGCCGGCAGGCACGGACCGGGTCATGAAGGGCCCTGGGAGATTTCAGCGGTCCAGGCTGAAGTGGTGGATTTCTCAGCTTGCGACAAGGGTCGCTCTGCTCCTGGGTCTGGGTCTACAGTCCGCTTTCATCCGGTCATTTCACAGCTGTTGGTAAGACACCTGCGATATGTCCCTTTTTCTGACCTCAGCCCCCCACCCGCGTGCTTGGAGCCTGTATATCTGTGCAGAGCCCTTGGGGGAAGCAGGATTGCCATTGGCATCTCTAAAGAGTATCAGCTTTGTCCTGTGTGGGCCTGCTCGACATTGAACGTGGACTGAAGGGACTCTTGCCTCCTCTCTTTAATTCCCCCCCTCCTCCCTGCACCCCAAGAGAGGACAAATGAGCAAAGAACGGGCGGTGGCCTCATAGTGGCCGTGGGAAGTTTTCTTGAGTCTCTTGGCCAGCAGTGTGTGCTCGCTGGACAGCCCCTCCCCTGCCCGCATCCCCCGAGTCCCCTGCAAAGGTCATGGAAATGGGGGCGGTCCCTGAGAGTTATTTGAGGTTCTGGCTTTCCGTAGAGCCCACCGCATGTTTTTGCTGGATGTTACCAAAATGCTGTAGGGCAGAGGTGCCAAAAAGATCAGCATGATTTTTATTTTGAACAGAAGGGGTGGGAGGAGGAGACAGGGGAAAGGGTGGGGAGGCCCAATGGATGTCTCTGGGTATGTCTTCAAGACATCATGGGGCCTGAAAACAAAAGGAGTTTGGGGTTGTGTTTTATTTCTCGTGGTTCTTGTTCCTCTATGGAAGAAAGCCTCCTGGCACAGCCTGGAACCTGGGACCTAAGTGTGATCATGGGGCCCCTGAGGGCCGTGAGCTCCTTCTTTCTGTGCCCCATCCACAACCCACGGCACCTGCCCTGAGGAGAAGAGGGAATTGAGACCTCCCAGGTGTTTGCGTTTGGGTAGCTTATCACGTGTGGACCCGGTATAAACTCCGAGATCTCTGATTCAGCAAAATTTCAAGTCTTGGAAATTCAGTCTCCTTATCTTCCCGTCCCTAAATCCATTACAACGCTGGCCCTTGGGACACTTTATCCCAGCCCGAGGCTGAAATGGCAGTCTACCGGGGCACTTTCTAGAAGCAGAAGTTTGTCTGGAATTGGAGTTAGGATACTTTGGGTCATCTAGGGAGTAGCCCCTCCTTCTTTAAAAAAATTCCACGTCAGCCTGGAAAGAGCTACTGAGTTCCTGGATGAGGTCTTAGTGGCGTGAGGACGGCTGGAACACAGGGTGGGGGGGTGGTGAGACGGGTGGGAAAGGGGTGTGGAGGCAAAGAATTATGGCAGGGATTTGTGGGAGGGGCCAAGGAGGGGAGGAAACAGCAAGGTTCGGGGGAGCTCGGTGGGGGCTGCTTTGAAATGGACCTTTACTGGATCATCCCAGGGGGACTCTGGAACAGTCACTTTCAGCCTTGAACCTGCTTCCCCAGTCTGTAACCTGAAGGCGCTGGCCGGGGGGATCTTGGTGGGCTTGCTGCTGAAACGCAGGAAGGTATAACTTCTTAGGGCAGTAAGCAGCTCTTGCTCTGTCTTGAGTCCAGCGGAGGGCACCTCTCCCACTGTCTTGCCCCATCCCGCCCCAGCCCTGCACAACATCAGACTGCCGTTTTGGAGAAGGAGAAGTTAATGTCAATAACCGGTGCCTGCTGGGAACCCTAAGTCTGTCTGCAGGCTCACAAGGGTGCCTGTCTCTGGATGCTTGTCTAGCCCTCACTCCCTTTCCCTAAGAAGAGCCCGGGTTGGTGGCTGGGCGCCCCTTGGAGGGACCCCTCTTTCCAAAGGGCTGGAAAAATCAGGCACATTTGTTCGTGCTCAGCTGGTACGCGGCAAAGGGAGGGGGCCTTGGAACCAAGCACTTTGGTCCCCCCGGAGCAGATGATCGGTCGATCGAATATTTCTGCAACCTGATGCAATGGAGCAAAGCTGCCAGCTTGGGCTCCTCCTGCTACGCGGGCTGGCACTTTGGACCCGAATCAGCACTTGGATCCCGCGACGGGGGCGTGGGTGGGGGTGAGGGGTGGGGGATGGGTGTGTCTGCCGGTAAGGAAACTCTTTTTGAAAAGAGACCGTGAGATGATGAGCCCCAGTGTTTGCAGCTGGCGAAGTAGGTCTTTCATGTCCGCACTGATTATCTTAAATTAAGGTCCAACCCTTGTCCGTTGTCTTCTCCCAAGACCGCTGCTTTAATTAATAAATCAAACAACTCGGAGATGAGCAGAAGCGTGTTCACTGGTTCTGCGCATGTGCGTCTGGACCGAGAGGCAACAGGGTTTGGTGGGGGGAAGGTCCCCAGACTCTGAGAGAAGAGACTTGTGTTTGAGCCCTGATTCTTTTGCAGGTGGAGCTGTGTGACCTCAAGGGAGTCACTGGCCCTCTCTGAGCCTGTTTTGCTATTTCTTCAGTGACAGCGTTGGGTGATAGTTAGGCTGCCTGGGTTTGAATGTGTGTGAGGGCCGGGAAGAGTCTGCTTTGAGAATGGAAGACACAAGTGAATAAAATGAATCGCTCCCCCTGCCTTTTCCCTCCCTCACTGAGGGACGCCCGAGTTAAAACCTTGTGAATATTCTCCTGATAGCCCCATCCCCGTGGCAGGGAGCCCAGTGTGACGTCACCTAAAATATCCTGGTTTCTGGCACTTGAGGGATGATATTTCCTCCGCTAGTGTTTGCCCATCCTCTCCCTTCATCCTTTGTTTCCCACCCTGAACCATAGTATGAAGACCATATGTGCAGATAATGAGTTTAAGCTGATAAACAACTCCCAGATTCACCCAAATAAAAGGCCGTCTTGCTAGAAGATGCTTGCGACTTTAAAATAAATAATCTGGCTTCTCTGCTCTGTTGCATTATGTTGGCCGGCCCTGCTAACCCCCTTTGTCCTCTGCCCCTTGGTCTGCTGCAGACACAGAGGCTAGACCAGGGGTATGTTCTAGGCTTTATGGGCTGCCCTGGCTGGGGCAGCCTCCTCCCGCTGCCCCCTTGCCTCACCCCCTGGCAAGGTTGGTGCTCGGAGCCATGGTGGGGGTGATCTTCGTGGTGGCTCAAGTTGTGGGCATGCTGACCATCGGCCAACAGCTAGACCAGACTCCATCCCATCTGCACCTGCGAGGCTGGTTCAGATCTCGTCCCCATTTGGCAGATGTTAAAGTAAGGCTCGGGAAAAATCAATTGAGAAGTGGTGGTACCAGGATTTGAACCTAGGCCGATCTGTTGGCCCATCCAGGGCTCTAAACCCCTGTGTGATATTTCCTCCTCGTGTACAGCCACAGACAGAACCTCCTGTGAGCCCCAAAGCCCCAGGAACACTAGCTTTGAGATCCCATCAGGCCCTCCTCGCTGCTTCTGCTTGGCTTCCGGGCTCAGAGTCTTCTGTGGTTCCCTCTTTTCTCCTGTGTCCATTTATCAGTCTTCTGGGAAGTCAGTGACCTTACTGAGCAACAACAGGGTGTTCCTGGAAGAGGATGCGTGTTGGAGTCACAGTTGTGAATTTGAACCCTGTTTCTGCCCCTGACTGGCTTTATGGCCTTGGTTTCCTTACCTGGGAAAAGCAGCAGAGCAACAGTCATAGCAATAACACTGTTCAGCTAAATCAGCCGCCGCCGCAGAGGACTCCAGCTCTCCTCGATTTAACATTGCGGGTGTAATTCCTGCCTGCGTGGCTTGTCTGGGGTGGGTCTCTGCTCCACA